TTCCGTGGAAGATGAGAAAGAAGAAGTTCTGTCTGGGGCATTGGCTGATATTGGAGGTTTGGAGACACTCGCTTCTTGTACTGCAGGAAGGTTGGGGAGAAAGAGGGACGTACCAGTTGACCTCAAAGTCTTTCCTTCCTATTTTCCCTTGATACATCAGGCTTTAAGGGGCTCCAGAGCCTGGAATGGGCAGACAAAACAGGAGACTGTGGGTGTTCACTTCTCAGCCTGAGTGGGGCCGCGAAGCAGTGGGCAGTGGGGGAGGCCACCTCCCGTCTTCCCTCCGCAGGCGTCCCCCACCCCCGATCGGGCCGGGTCTCACTCCAGCAGCCCCGTTTAGAGGAGCCAGAGTCTGCCTCCTCCACAGAGGGGGGCGCCCACACGCTCCCAGCTGCTGCCTGGGCACACGCTTCTGCTCACAAACCTGCATCAGAAAATGCATTTGCAAGGTGCAGCCCTCCCCCCACCTCCCCGGAGTACGGCTTCCTACCTTTGTTCTTGCCGGAGTTCAGTGCAAAACACAAATGATCCTGCCAGTCTGACACCGCCTCGCTTGGAGTCCCCAGAGCCTTGGGGGAAGCGAGTGGGGTTTTGGAATCACACCTCCCTCTGGCTCTTTTCTCTGCAGCGGAGAGGAGCCGCCAGGGAGCCGGTGTGGAAGAGATTAACGCCCTCAGGAGCTGTGAAGAGGGCGGCCCACGGTGTAGGACACTGTTCTGGAGAGCTGGCCCAGGGACGCGTTAGGACGCCGTCTCCAGCCCGTCCTTGGATCTGAGACCAGCGAGTGGCCTTGCCCAGGTGGGGTCTGGGGAGCCAGGAGTGGGGACAGGGCTCGGCCTGGTGCAGTGGGAGGATGGGCACACCGAGGGGCAGAATGCTGCCTGGGATCCTTCCCACCTGCCGACCCCCGTCTCCTCCTGGGGCCCAGCAGCTACGAATGAGGAGATCCCCACTTTTCCCCTCACAGCTTTTGGCCCCTTAGCTCTGAGGACAAGGGCACGCTGGGGCCTTTCTCAGATTTTGCTCCACCTTGCGGGGCCCAGCAATGCCCCCAGCGGACGGGAGGTCATTTCAGTACGGGTCCCTCACTGCACCATCTGGACAGGTAGTGTTTAAAGCGGGGCCTCACGGATGCACCTCCGGGAAGCAGCTCCTGGTGTTCACAAAGTGGCTGCTGAGCGCCGGGTTTGCACTTCAGTCCTGGGTCCGAGAAGGTGCTGGCCACAGGCTTACTGCCTCATCTTCTCAGAACAGCACAGCAGAGGCCAGGGAGGGAAGAGGAGGCCTCCTCTAGCCAGGGACGGGGGTTCCTCACCGCCCAGGACACGGGGACGTTAGCCCCACTGGGCTAGGCCGGCTGTCGGGCCAACCCCTCCCTCCCAGCGCCCCCCTCCCGCAGGCCCCCAGCGCCTCACTTCGGCTGCAGATTCAGAGTTGGATGTCCGGGCTGTCCTGTGGGGCCGGCAACTCCAGAGATCTCTTCTCCTTTAACTAAAAGAGGGGCCCCTGAACACACCCCACGCACTCCTGGTGTTTCCGGACACCGGGTCCTGCCCTGGGGCGTCCTTCCCCTCTCGTGCTGGCCCCTCTCCCGCTAGGGGTCGCCACCGCCTGTGCGGCCGCGTGGCTCGGCCTGGGTGCGGCGGGCTCCATGAGGCCAGGGGAGGCCGGGGAGGCCTGGCCCTGCCCCCGGGTGGGCTGCGGAGTAGGCCAGGCCCCTGCAGCGCTGCTGCTTTCGGAGTCAGGAGCCCCTGCTTTTTTGAAGGCCACCCACATCCATTTGTGGGGGGAGGCTGGGGCCAAGGTGAAGCCCAGCCTCTTGGTGGCCTCCCGCCTTTTGGCACCTCTGCAGCGGCCTCACTCCTTCCCGACTGTTCTAAAAACGGCTCTGAGGGGCTTTAGGACCGAAAGAGGTGTGGGCACAAATCACTGTGCCTTCCCCGCAAAGCCTGGGGTGGGATTCTCCGCGCCTGCCGGAATCCCCCATCACAGGGTCCCAGGCAGCTTGTCCTCCGGCAGGCGGGGCGGTGGGTACAACTGGGAGGTCGCAAGCCCGGCCGGAGTGGATGGCTACAGGACTTGTCGCGGGTTCACACGGTAAATCAGTGAGGGGCACACGGGCCCAGCCCTGGGGCCCTGCCTGCTTCCAGGCCTGGGGTCCCCTCTTCGTGCCAGAAACAATCCCGTGACAACATAACAGAGGTTATACTTTTATTTAACGTTTAGAGGATTAACATATAGTTACAAGGTCAATATAAGCCTTCCAATGGAAGCACTTTATTTGGTTTAATTCCATCTCCAGAGACAAACGGGCAACTCCAGAACCTTCACGATGGCAGGGGGCCGTTACAACACTGAAATGCCTCCAAAGTTTAGAATTAGTGCCACACACACAAATAAACCAAAACGTTTAAAGGTGCTCAACATCAGGTTAAAATAGATTTTGGATCGCTCTTTTAAAGAAGTGTTTTGATGGCACAAGCGCAGGGAGGCAGAGGCATGAGGAAGTATGAAACTAAGATTTCTGGAAAAATACTCAGCATCCATGTCACTTTTCCACGTTCAGTGAACTCTCTCCTGTAATTACAAATGTCACCGGAACGCCTAAGCAGGGGTCCTGGGCTACTGCCCTCGAGATAAGCTACAGCTTATCTGGGCTGAGCCTTACAGCCTGGAAGCTTCCGAGGGGAGCGCGCGAAAGACCCAAAGGAAAATCCCATGACAGCTTTCCATGCCTTTTTATCTTGCAAAGGAAAAACAGGGTAAATGACAAGTTCCTCCCTTTCACGTTGTTTTTAGGTCACGTTCAGGGCAGGTGTCTTAAAACTTAGTCATTCTTACAATAACACTATTCTAGCATTGGGGAGAAGTGACAGGCCAAGGGGGGAGGGAGGGGGATCCCCCCGAGCAGATGGGGAAGCTCCCCTACTCTACGGGAACTGGTCCATAGTCCTCTAGACGAATTTCCCAGGAGGATCCCCAGAGCAGAGAAGACACCTCAACTACCCTCTAACAACTCATCTCCTTGAACGAGCTCGGGTTTGCAGTGCCCCCCTTCCCACACGGCCACACGGACCTGCCGGAAGGAGAACACCAAGGCTAACACGGAGAAGCACCTATGACCCGTTCCTTGGTGGACGCAGGCGGTACAGAAGGAAAAACAAAACAAAACAAAAAGGCGCAGGGGTTACAAGATACGAGCATAGTCTATACTGGGCTTAGCAGACACTAAAAGAACAAATCACTGTAGCTTATACCATTTTCCCTATGCTGCGAGAAATTCATCTATCCTGACCCCAGAGTATGAAAGATGCAATGCACATGCATTCCCGAGGCCTGAAAATCAATTTAAAAAACCATTTAGCATCCTTGCGGAGTGGAGAGCGGTCCACTTGGCCTGGGGAGATTCGGGAGTTCGTGGAGATACCTACTCCCTGCCCACCACCCCGGCTGGCGGAGAAGCCCTCCGTGGAGCCGCTGGGCCGGCCCGTCCTAACCACACACCTGCAGGTTTGCAGGGACACAGGGGTGTCTGCCAAGCAGCCCTCTCACGAGGCGCTAGACCTCGCTGCAGGGGAGGTGGGCAGCCGCCGTGGGCGGCTGGTCTTCCGCTGAAGGGTTTACCCCCTTCAGGGCGAGAGACAGAGACGAAGACAGAAAGACAGAAGAGGGGAGCGAGCTCATGCTCGCTCGCTCGCCTTTAAAACCGAAGCCACTTCCTCGTCACCTGCTTACCCCAGACATCTGCCTGCTGGAGGCTTCTTCTCGTCACCGAGCTGCTCTCGGAAGCAGGTGTGCAGTCGTGGTCAACCCTGGTTTGCTGAGAGGAACCCTTTTGTGGCCGCTGAACACAGGCCCATCCCTTAGCACCTGTCCTTTCTGTCCCTGTCCCTTCGGCTCCCGTAAGACATCCTTGTCTTAGATTCACAAATGTCGAGGAGAATTAAGGATGTTCGAGGTGACCACCCAGGTACCAATAGCCACACGAGACAAGACAGAGGCCCGATTTCCTTCTTGGGCTTCGGATGGTTCTCATTCACAGAAACTTCTGAAACCGACCGTGTCGGCACCAGAGACAGGAAGCTACGGCATGCCTGGGCACGGGCCACGTGGTCTCACATTTTCCTCAAGGATCCATAAGAGGAAGGGACTTCGCTCAAAAAGCCAGCTCAATCCAGTCTCCGTGTCCCACGAAGCACGTGAGAACATGGAGAAGCCGCAGGGTCACCTGAAGGACCGCCAGCAGCACGGGGTCTTTGGTGAGGAAAGTGCTAGAATCCTACGATGGGAATCTTGGGAATTCTCACTTTGCAACGAGCTAGCGCCCAGGTGAGCCTCTGGCTCCGCCAAGTGCCTCGCCCGGCGGCCCCCGCTCCCAGGGCAATGGCGGGGAGACGTGGGCTGGGACCTTCCCTCACTCCATGGCAGGTGGATACAAGCCTCTGCGTGTGGCCCTCAAGAGATGGAATTTGACTTCTAGTGTGGACCTTTCCAGGCCATGGAGCACAGGCCCCAAATCAAAACGTGTGTGTGTGTGTGTGTGTGTGTGTGTGTGTAAGCGTGCACACCACAGAGGGCGCTGTGTGCCTGCGTGTGAGCACCTGCGTGTCCCCCACGGACACTCTCAGGCCAGGAAATGTTGCAAGAGCTGATGGTTAGTATGAGGCGAGGACCCCTAGCCAGAAAAGGACCACCGAAGGGACTCGGGACCCGGGAACCCACCTGTGACATTCGGGGGCTCAGTCTGCCCGGCGCACGCCTGACCCTCCTTGTCCAGATTCTGTTAGTCTCCCCGGGCGGGGGGGGAGGGGGAGACCGGTGGCGAAGTTTTCACGAAAGGCACAGTGTGAACCATGGACGGGCCAGGATGCGCCAGGTAGACTGAGGGCCAAGGCAGGGGCCCGGGAAGGAGGGAACACGTGTCTAGCTGCCTTCTGGGGCCCCATGTGGGGTGGAGGGGGATGGGGACGGGGACAGGGACAGACCTGTCCCCAGAGAGGTGGCCAGGTGGGGCCATGGGGGGAGACGGGCCACGAGAAGCATGCTGTCGGGAGTAAAGAAAGGAAAAGGCAAAGCAGCCGCGTGGCAGGTGGGGAGAGGATGTGGCTTCAGGCCGCGACGACAGAGGGGACCGCGGGCCGGCCAGCCCGGGAGCCGTCTACGCGCGCGGGCGCCCAGGCCTGTGGAGACAAGCAGACCGAAGGGTTGCTCCGGGGAAGGCTCACCGAGGCTCCGGCTCCTGCAACCGCCTCTAGGGATCTACAACACAAAAAGACAGAAAGAGAAAGAGTGTTTAGAGGGAGGCTGGCGGCCTGGGGCGGGCATCTGGTCTGCACCGCCCGGGAGGGGGACAGCTCTAGAGCGTGGAGTGTTACCATGGGGCACGTCAGGGATAAGGAACTTTCACGGTCTCTGGTCGCCTCAGGGGCCAGCCTCCCCTTCAGGGGGAAGAGAGGCCCACGCGGCAGACCCGCACCCATCCACCCCCGGCCCCTCTTTCTGGGTCCGCTGAGTTTCGGAAGAAAGAAATGCAACCCGCTTTCCAGGCGGATGCAAGGGATTTCGAGGCCTGATTCTCTCCCCCGACCGACACTGTCGGCGCTTTACCAAAAAAAAAAACAAAACAAAACAAAAACAAAAACAAAAACAAACCAGTAAAATCTTGGTGAAAAGGAAAAACCTGTTACTCAGCAATCAACAGTGAAAGTTCTTCATCCAGAGTGGGGAGGAGAGGAAGGAGACAGAGACTCGGAAAGCCCTCAGGTGCACACAGGGCGAGAGACAGAGCAGGTGTCATCATTTAAAAGGGTGGGGGGAAGGGCAGAATTTTAAAAAAGCATTTGGCTGGCAAAGGTCCCCATGACTGAAGACAACAGAGTTAAATGCCCAGATTACACAGAATCATTTTCTCGGAAAAGGTGAAAAATCATTTAAAATACACAACACTGAGAAAAATATGTTTATTAGAGAGGCAGATACGAGGGTACAACCAGGAGGAGCCAGACAGATTCGTTTCTTTCAGGGTGAGAAGAGAGAGAGACAATCATTTTGGCCGTGTTGGAGCAAAACTTACTCAGAACACAAGTGTCTACAATAAAGTCAAGGCTGAGCAGCCAGCGGGGGACCTAGTCCTTCCGGCCTCCCCAGCGGTTACAAAACAAAAACGGTCATTAGGCAGCAGAATCACCAATAAAACAAACAGACAAGAGAGTCAAACGTTAAAACAAGGAATTCAAGTCATCCTTTTAGTTTTTAAACGGCAGTATATACAAAAATATGGGGGGCAGGCGGGCAGGGGGATTTCGGACATATTTAACAGAAAGCAATTTAAAAAACCAAACTGAACCATGAAAGAAGAGAGTCACGATCCAACTGACCACCAAACGTTCCTCTAGTCTAAATATTTTGGCAATTATTAAATAGTTACATCGTAGACCACACACACACACACACACACACACACACACACACACACAAGTGCACGGCGCAAAAACTGCTGCTTTGAGTTCTGGGCATGAGGAAGCAGAGCCCCTCGGCCTGGGAGGGGTTGGCGGGAGGCAGTGTTCTTGGGGGTGCCCGCAAGTTTAGAAACCCGTGGGGAAGACAGGCTTCTATGCATACACGAGGAACCTCGAAATGCGTCTCTAAAATAAAAGGAGAAAACTTTACCCACAAGCTGAGACTTGGCTTCTTTCATTTTAGCAGATAACCAGGGGTGGTGGGAGGGGGTCGAAAAATACCAAAGTTTATTCTAGGCAGAAATGGGAATTCTGATTCTTTGGGAGTGGTTTCAGGACTTCTAATAGTGGGTGCGTTGACCGGTTGGCACCGAGGCACTGTTCCATCCCTCGTCTGCAGCTGCCTGTGCTAAGGGCCTGGGGCACAAAACTTAACATCACAAGCATTCAATTATGTGCCCCAAATCAACACGTGCCCCCACCCCACCCCCACCCTCCAGCCCCACAAACCAACTGAGCCGTTTTCTGAATCAAATTTGCACAACTGTTAAGAAAAAAAAAAAAACCAATAAATAAACCCACAACAACGTCATGGAATGCCACACTTTCCAAGGGAGGCTTCCAAAGGCTCTCGTCCTCTTGGCCATTTTAAGACTTTGTCAGTGTTTGGTTCACTTCCTGTAGCAGTTCACAGGCTGGCCATGGGTCCCATCATTAGACAGAAAGCTCTGGTTCTAATAGCTGAGGTCCCCTGTTCGCCTGGGTCCATGCCCAGCGCTGTCACCTCCCCCAGCTCGTGAAGAGGAGGAACCCTGCGGCCTCAGGATCAGCAGAGTTCCTTGTGGGGAATGTTCACAAAGGGGAACAGAAATGATTTTCCTGAGAGGTCTGGGGTCCAGGGTGAATGGCTTTATCGATATTACGTCAGCAAAGGCAGAACAAGGCAAAAGAAACCAGAATCACAAAATGGTATTTTAAAAAAGCGGGCTGACCAATGTCCGTTTCCTGCTTTGGGCATTTGTATTACAATTCCATCAGAAGCCACCCCTGGGGGGGGGGGGGCACCTGCTGAAGGGTACATGGGACGGCTCTGTACGGTCTTTGCAACTTCCTGGCAACCAATCATTATTTAACAACAGACCGTGTATTAAAAACCAGGCTGTCATTAACGTTCATGAGGTTCCATTCTGGTGGTCCTGGGGAAATGAGAACTTTCTGAGAGAATCCACAAGAACCTGTAAGAGTGGGGCCCCCTGCTGTTGTTTTTTAAATCAGCTTTTTTTTTTTTTTTTTTGGTAGAATCAACTTTAAATCGATTTGAGCTTATAAAAGGAGCTCACAGTGTAAAAGCAAGGAGCTAATTTCCTATTTAAAAGTAGGAAGGACATGAATAAGTAATTCTCAAAGCCAAATAAAAAATCACAACCTGACCCCTCGGCCGTGGGCCCTTCATAGCTGGTTCTCTGGGACCACAGGGTAGATTCTCCAAACGGGCGCACAGCTGGGGCGACGCACGCCTGTGCTCGATTTCACCCCCTACGCTGCCGATTTAATAAAAAACGCAAATCCCCACGCGACCCAGATCCCTTTCAAGACGGTGAAATACTTTAGTCTGGTTATGGTTCATTATGTAAAATAAAACGAGCTAGCAATTTGAAAATGATTTTTCAGTAAATCCATATTTTGGGTCTTAAAGATGCCAAGGATTAAAAAAACCAAACCAACCGACCCAAAACACCTCTGCGAAAGCAAAGAGCTTCGGGGGGTTGTGTGTGTAGAAGCAGCTGCTGCTCCTTACAAGCCCCACCTGGGCACCTGTGAGCTGAAGGCCGCTCCTCCGGCCACAAAAGCTCCAGCAGAAGCATGCGGGGTTTTTGGTCAGTTACGGAAATGGCACTAGGGCATCTGATCGTCTCTGTCAAGGGCAGTGGGGAGCTCAGGGCCTCATGTAAAAGTCTACTGGTTAACCGTTGACCAAGCTTTTCCAGTTTTCAGCTGGTTGTCTGGGATCATGCAGACGGGAGAGGAAAACACGACGATATACCAATGATCTTATACACGTTGAAGGAAAAATACACACATTTAGTACCAATATAGGACTCGTCTTATTCTTTCCTTGAGGAGGGGGAGGTTTTATCGATGACTTCCTCCAAAGCAAATGACTGTAAGATCAAACGATCGAGCGTGGTTCAAGTTACGAGGTTTCAAAACGTAACATCCTAAGGGGGTTGCGTTCACGGCAGTTGCGAGAGAGAAACAGAACACAAGCCTTACCCACCCTGCTGATGTGTGTGAACTTTTAAAATTCAAAAATAGCAATTAGAAGCTAGAAGGCAATTTTTTTTTTGGGGGGGGGGATACCTACAGATACGGCCAGAGGAAGAACTGTTTATCTGAGCTCAAATGACAAAACTGTAAATTGGCAGTTGGCAGCTTTCCTTGTCCTATTCCATGAGCAAGTGAAACGTTTTATAGTCAAAACCAGCCAAGGAAATCCGGGTGTCGAGCGCCCACCAGCCCACCACGTGGCCACGGGACAGCACGCACTCCGGGGTCCTCCGGCTTTGGAAGAACCGCCCGGAACAGTCATAGTTGTGGGAACAGACAACTCCAATTTTTTTTTTTTACATTTTTTTTTTTTAAGTTGTATTAAATATAAGTCTTAGCACCTTTGGCATTTTTGTCCAAATAGACTTCGACGTACGAAGTGGGGACATAACCCTCTTCGTCTTCGTTTCTCCGAATGCGGGTCCACCCGTCGCCTTTGTCTTCCTCAATCACGTACAGCGTTTCTCCTTCAACCACGGAGATGGTCCCTTCATTCTGACCTGGAGAAGCAACATCAGAAGGGGTCAGGCTTCTCGCCGAAGCCAGGCGGAGCGCGAACGGGGAGCCTAGCAAGGGAAGAGGGGCAGTGAGGGAGGGACAGACGCGTGGACGTTGCAAGGGCTCGTCCCACGCAGAAGCTTCCAGACCCACCCCCCCAACAATGCTTCTCCAGCCCTCCAGGGAGCCCCCTCTCTCTCCCAGGAAGCCAGGTGCTCCCCAGGGGACATCTTGGGTCTGCTCTTCATCTCTTCTGGGGAGCGTGCGCTTATGGCTTTAATGACACCCTTTCAGACACTGTCCCCACTCGTTAACGGGGTCCCCAAGACCACTTGCTGACGTTACTGCCCCAGAACAGCGCCCACTGCTCACACAGCGTCCTCAAGCTCAGACTGGCCAGGGAGCTGCTTACAGGGGTGCCGTCGGGGTGGGGCCGAGGCGTGGGAATGAGATTAAGATGGCGACCTTGAACCTGGAGCTTTCTTGTCCCACCACACAGGTGGCCTGTCGTGAGAAGATCTGGAAGATCCCTCTGTCCCAGAGCTTCCCAAACCTACCTGAGCTCAGCCTGCGTCTCTCACGGCTTCCTTCGCATCTTTCTCCGTGGACATCATTCTGGCAACTCCAGGCTAATCTTTCAAACCCTTCATCCCTGTTCTCCCACTGGTCCCCCACACGTGACAAGACATATCCGTAGGCGCAGCTCGAACGGTGCCAACGCCCCGCTCAAACGTCTTCAACAGCTCAACTGTTGCCAGACAAAATCCAGACGACTCTCTTACCCCCGCCACGACATCATTCCTAGTCTCAGATTCTATCCCTCCCACCTCAGATGTCTAAGCTCCAGCCCAACAAGCCCACGCTTCCCTCACCTTCCTCCCTCCGATGCACAGAGGCCTGGAGAGTTCCCTGAATTAATTCTCTGAAGGAAGTGAGCGCCCTGTCCCGTGAGCGCCCAGCACTCCGTACCCCACCTCTGGTACGTGCCACCAGCGGACCTCTCCCAAATATGTGTCTGTCCTCGCTCCCCAGGGGCGGACACCACACCAACCCATCCCGTACCCCATCCCTCTGGGGGCTTTACAAGACAGGATCTCCTGGAAATACTGGATGAACAGATAAAATCATCATGGGGCGCCTGGGTGGCTCAGTGGGTTAAGCCTCTGCCTTCAGCTCGGGTCATGGTCTCAGGGTCCTGGGATCGAGCCCCGCTTCGGGCTCAGCGGATAGCCTGCTTCCTGCCCCCCTCTTTCTGCCTGCTTGTCTGCCTACTTGTGATCTCTCTCTCTCTCTGTCAAATAAATAAAATCTTTTAAAAAAAAATCATCAGTATTCCACACCAACTGCTGCAAGTAAGCTGCATGAACGCTGTTCCATTGGGCAGAGTAACAGGCAAAACATGCAACCTTGAACCAAATACTGATGATGATGACGGTGAGCGGAACACAGGGTAAAACGAGTGAGAAAGATCTGGAAGGCTTCGGAAGAAGCTCCAGTCATAGCAGACGGGACAGCATGCACAAGCGGGGAACCGGGCGGACGTGGGTCACCTTCGAACGTGTAGAGGGCTTTGCAGGTCCCGATGGCAGGCAGGGGCTCCTCCTCGTCAAACTCGTCGTCGAAGTCCGTGGCCAGCACCTTCCCCTCACCCTCCTGACTCTGCTCCTCCGTGTAACTGCCATCCGGGCTGCTCAAGAGAGGAAACCACGCAGCAACTATAGCGACTGCCCAGCGAAGCGCTCGCCCCCTGCCCCCCGACCGCTGCCACCAATGCCACCTCAGGTCACCCTGCGTGCTCCATCGCCGCCCCGCGCGGCCCGAGGGACCTACGCTGTGGGGAAAGGGCAGGTCAGGCATCTCGGGCTCCTCTGTATACAGAGCAAGTGCCTCCGCTTGTTTCTAGACTCCAGAACTGCACCACGGACACAAAGCAAAGCTGCCCCCACTGGACGGCAGGCGCGGCACAGATACTGTACCTCTCGCGGTCCTGGGCGCAGCTGTTGACCGTGGCCGGGTTCTGGGCGTCGAACATTCCACTCTGCCGGCGGGCCTGCTCGCTGCGTGCCGGCAGCCTGCCCTCCACCTCCGCCAGCCAGGCCTGCAAGCAAAAGCCACCAGAGACAGCTCAGCTGAGGGCCCGACGCGGGAGTCTTGAAGGCCCCGGATTCAGGGGGGCTCGATGGTCCCTGAGGCTGAGATTCAAGAAGGGCCACACGCTTGGGGGGAGGGGGGTGTCTCCTGTGTCTCTGCATGCAGCTGTACCAAGTACCCACACGCAACGGCTCCCAGCCCATCTCACGCTGGAGAAGTAGAAACAAGCGGGCTTAGGCCACTGTCACAATGTGGCATAAAGAGCTCTGGACTGTATTATCATCTTGGGCTTTTTTTTTTTTTTTTTAAAGTAGGCTCCATGCCCAGCGTGGGGCTCAGTGCAGAGCCTGAGTCTCCAACCGTAAGATCAAGACCTGAGCTGAGATCAAGCGGGAGCTTAACGACGGAGCCACGCAGGTGCCCCGCTACTCTTGGGCTTTTGAAAACAGCTGTGTGAGATAAGGTAAGTCGCTTCTGGTTCCTTCTGGCTCCAAAATTCTGTGACCGTGAGCTCCCGCTGGAGAAGGGGCTCCTGTCCCCCAGGAGCAGAGACTCCGTGTGAAAGCTACGTGCACCTTTTGTTTTGAGGAGTGAGTCACTCTTTTTAAGGGTAAAGAAATGCGTTTTCCAGGAAATCAAATTAAGATAAAAGATAAACTTATCTTGGGCAACATTTAAAATAGTGTGGAAAAGGCCAGAGGAAAAAAATGACCAGGAAAGAACACTTCGAGGTTCTAAACCCTCTAACTGATTGGCAGAGTCTGGGAAGAGTCTTAAAAAGCTGTATCTGACCCTTCATGGCTAGAAGTAACCGATTCTGCCCATAGCTCTTGAGTGCTCTCTCTCCCTCCTTAAAAACTATAGTATTTATCTTTCCTACTCATTTCTAATTGGTGTCTCTCAGTGGTTGTCACCTCTATAACCTTTGGATAATGGGTCCTTTGTAAGAACCGTAATGTATCTGACTTGATTTTTTTAACTTCTGGATTCACGACAGCCCACGCACAGCTGTCCCCTTCATCGGCAGGGGCTGGAACAGGACCAACCAAGCCAAGCACAAAGGACAAGGTGTACAAATACATTGATCAGTGCTGGGTTTAGGGGAGTCCTGGGCCGAAGGCATGCCAAGGGGCAGAACAGCCAGGGGTCTGACCACTTTTCCTTTTATTATGACTCGCCAACCTCCCCCCTCCCGACACCCTCCAGCCACATGTCTTGCACGAATCGCTGGTGTGCTACGGCATGAACCCAGCACGACTCCCAGCCTTTCCTCGGTTTCTTTTTCTTCCAACAGGGCTTTTCACGCACAGCGTTTTCATACCTCAAATTTCTGGGCTTCTAGTCGCAGTTTTTCTATATTTTGGCTCACTTCGGTTAATTTATGATCCAAACTGCCTGGGTCTCCCATCTGAGGATTCTTTAGGTAAACATCTTTCATTTTTGTGATGGCATCTCTGGAAAGAAAGAGGGAGCAGGACACAGTAAAGGTCAATGTCATCCATCAAGTGTCCTCTCCTACCGCCCCGCACGCCGCACGGACCGGCACATGGCATGATGGCATCACAGCGCGGGCTGGAGGGGAGTATTGGGAGCTGCTTTCATCCTAAAACTCCGTAAGAATTCTGTTCCCGAGGTCTGTATAATCCAGAGACGGATATTAAAATTTCGGTTGCCTTTTCTGAATGGTATCTGGAACCTCCCACTGCCCTCCGAGACTGAGAAACAAATCAGTCACGTCCCTCCCTTTGCCCCCCACGATGAAAACAGAACTCCAGCTGGCACTCTGGGTCCCACGGGCTCCCATGCGTTCCCCTCGTGGAGGAGCACAGTTAACGGCTTTGGAAATTTTATGACACACTCTTTTAACTATTAAGAAACCAAACCCACAGTTGGTGTCCATGACAGGTGGGCAACCGAGCTTCAAGGCGACCCATCGCCAGGCCCCACGCCCTTCCTGAAGCCGGGAGGGCAGCCGCCCGCAGCGGCCTGAGCAGATAATCCCTCCAGGAGTGTGGCAGCCATGCCTGGGGCTATCTCTGGGACCAAAGGGCTCTATTCATTTTGAATTCTGGCTCTGAGGGACTGAGGGACTTTCTGTATAGGGTTCCGTAGGGTTCGGAGATGTTCAAAGTTTAGAGCAAATGACTCTGCAGGTGGTAAGGGGCCAACTTTAATGAGCTTCAGTAAAAGGCAGCCTTGACCTGTTATACAACATAGGACCAATGAAGCAAACCCAGTTAGAGTTATGGGAAATAGTTTAACTGAAACTATAGAAATAATAGGAGGAGAATTTCCCAAAGTCCCCATCCGGCCTGGGCCCGCCCCCTTGCATCTGAGCCCGCCCAGCCCGCTGCTCCTTTGTGGGTACCCACCATCCGCTTCCCCTGAGGTCACATCTCCCCTGCAGCCCTCCCTCCCCCTGCACTCCCTGCCCCCTGACTTTGCTCCCCTTCCTTCTTTCCCACCCGGTGAGTTTGTTATTATGCTTATTACTGTTCATCCTCAGTTTTTTCCTACTTCAGTAGAAGCTCTGGAAGGAAGCTCTATGGGCTCAAGCTCTTTTGTTAACTTGGTATCTCCCCGGGGCGGGACACTACGTGGCACACAGCAGATGCTCAGTAAGTATCTGAGATGAATAAATGCTCTTACAACAAACAAACTATAATGTCTGCCTTTACCAAATTCCTTTCTAAAAAAAATTATTTATTTATTTGACAGAGATCACAAGTAGGCAGAGAGGCAGGCAGAGAGAGGGGGGAAGCAGGCTCCCCGCTGAGCAGAGAGCCCGATGTGGGGTTCGATCCCAGGACCCTGGGACATGACCTGAGCGGAAGGCAGAGGCTTTAACCCACTGAGCCACCCAGGCGCCCCACCAAATTCCTTTCTTGACCTTATGGCTACACCTCCAGCTACTGCCCCATCTCTCGGCAAAGATTTGTCGAGATTCATTACCTCCAATTCTCTAACTCCTGTCTCTCCTCATAGGTCTCCCCAGACGTTTAACTTTATTCGTCTTTTCAAGGAACCAGCTTTTGGATTTGCTGATCCTTTTTGTTGAGTGCGTATGTTTTTCTGTGTCATTAATTTACCCTCTTTTCTTGCTTCTGTTTTCTTGGGTTCAATCTGCTGTGCTTTTTCTAACTTCTTGCGATAGACACTCAGCTCACTGATGTTTAGTGTTTTTTGTTTTTGATACATACGGAAAGCTATAAGTTCCCTTTGTGAGTGTTGCCTCAGTGACAGCCCAGTGATGTGTGGAATGTGGGTTCAGGTTCAGCTCTGCTCCGATATCTTCCAATGTCTTTTTTTTTTTTTTTTTGTGCTTTCAGTGTATTTCTTTTTCTTTCTTTTTTTTTTAAACATATAACGTATTATTTGTTTCAGGGTACAAGTCTGTGTTTCCAATGTGTCTCTTGATTTCTTCTTTAGTCTCTGAGATACCTAGAGCTACATTTCTTAATTTCTAAATGTTTGTTATTGGTACCCAACTTTACTGCAGGCTTTGGAGAACACACCTTGAATGGTGTCTAGCCTTGGATTTTGTTGAGATCTGTTTTGTGAAAACAGGATATGCTCAGGTTGTTGGAAATGTTCTATGTGTGCTTGAAAAGAATGTGCACCATTAAATTATTGGATAGACATGTCTGAGGTCAATTCTGTCAATTATATTATTTAAGTATTCTGTCCTAAAAACGACAGATGTTGGCGAGGATGAGGAGAAAGGGGAACCCTCCTTATTGTTGGTGGAAATGCAAACTGGTGCAGCCACTCTGGAAAACAGCATGGAGGTTCCTCGCTGAGGAGGAGGAGGAGGTTGAAAATAGAGCTACCTTACAACCCAGCAATGGTACTATTGGGTATTTACCCCAAAGATGCAAATGTAGTGATTCGAGGGGACACATGCACCCAAATGTTCACGGCAGCAATGTCCACAATAGCCAAACTATGGAAAGAACCTAGATGTCCACCAACAGATGAATGGATAAAGAAGATGTGGTGTATATATACAATGGAATACCATGCAGCCATCAAAAGAAATGCAATCTTGCCATTTGTAACGACGTGGATGGAACTAGAGGGTATTATGCTGAGTGAAATAAGTCAACAGAGAAAGAAAATTATCATATGATCTCTCTGATATGATGAATTTGAGAGGCAACATGTGAGGTTTGGGGGTAGGGAAGGAAAAAAATGAAACAAGATGGGATCGGGAGGGGGACAAACCATAAGAGACTTAATCTCACAAAACAAACTGAGGGTTGCCAGGGTGGGTATAGAGAGGGTGGTTGGGTTATGGACAATAGGGAGGGTGTGTGCTATGGTGAGTGCTGTGAAGTGTGTAAACCTGGCGATTCACAGACCTGTACCCCTGGGGCTAATAATACATTATATGTTAATAAAAAAATTTTAAATTAAAAAAAAAATTCTATCCTGAATCTGTTAATCTGTTCTACCTGTCACTCAGAGAACTGCATTAAAAATCTCTTCCAACAATGACGTGTTTGTATTTCTTGTACATACTCATGTCAAAGGGTTAACAGTATAACCTTTTCTATGTTTTAAGATCGACAGTTCTACAGCTTTAAACTGAGCTGTTTGTTCCTTGAAACATTTAATGTTATGAAGTTGACCTTCCTGAGCTGAATAGTTTGAGGGGTTTTTTTTGGCCTGAAAGTCAGTCATCTTCTGGCTGGCACTGGCCAACCAGTATCTTTTTCTAGTCTCTTATTTTCAACCTTTCTATACCTATATGTTGTTGTTGTTGTTTTTAATACCTTATGAGTTAGCTGTGCGTTTTATAGGCTGTGGATTTGGGGTTGTTGTAGTTTTGTCTAGTCTGAAAATCTAATCGGGACATGTAGTCTGTTGACACTGAACATACTCATTTTATTTTACAGATTCTATGTGCCAGGCATTGGTCCAAGTACCTCCCATACACCGACACATTTAATTCTATTAACTTCCTTTTCAAGATGAGGAAACAGAGGTAAGGTTAAGAGGTTAAGAAGCTTGTCCAGGGGCTCCGGGTGGCTCAGTGGGTTAAGCCTCTGTCTTAGGCTCAGATCATGATCTCAGGGTTCTGGGATCGAGTCCTGCATTGGGCTCTCTGCTCATCAGGGAGCCTGTTTCCCACCCACCCTGCCTACTTGTGATCTCTGTCTGTCAAATAAATAAATAAAATCTTAAAAAAAGAAAAGAAAAGAAAAAGAAATAGGTGGAACCAGGTTTGAACCCAGGGTATTAAAAAAATTTTTTTTTTTATTTTATTTATTTAAGTAATCTCTACACCCCACGTGGGGCTCGAACCCACGACCCCGAGATCAAGAGTCGCACACTCCTCTGAATCAGTCGGGTGCCCCTGAACCCCAGGGTATTTCAAATCTACCCTCACGCTTTGTGCTTTGATGAGTCCTGCCTTGTTCCTCTTGGACAAGACGTGAGTTGCATGAGAGCAGAGGTTTTCATGTGTTCTGTTCACCGTTTTATTCCCAGGGTCTAGGATATTTCCTTGCACACAGTAAATGCTCAATAAATAATCATCTAGTAAACTGTTAAATGGCACTGGCCTTATCAGTAGGGCCGCTGTGAGCGTTAAAAGGTTAACCAGCTTCTACGGCCACAACCCAAGTGGCAGAGAAAGTTTTCTACCTAATTCTTGGACAACAGTGTCCATGACCTTCTACAATGTCGTTTCAAATACCTGAGTCAGAACTTGTCACTCCCGTACGGAATATAACTGCTCAGTTATTCCACAGGCCGAGGGGTAATGGGCTGATACATGCAGGACCCTTTTTATATTTGGTTCCGCATGTAATAAAAAGGATAAAGAACACTTTCATCTCATGAGGTGTGTTTCTAACACAGAACAAAGTTAATTATCTATGTTGTTATTTGTTATGCACAGTAACAGTGTCCATAAAACCACCCATCTGGGGCGCCGGGGGGGCTCAGTCGGTTGAGCGTCCCACTTGATTTCGGCTCAGGCCAGGATCTCAGGGCCGTGGAAGCCATGTCAGGGCTCTGAGCTGGTGGGGAGTCTGCTTGAGATTCTCTTCTTCTGCCCCTCCATGCCCCTGACCCTCTACCCCGTGATCTCTCTTACTCTGTCTAAAAAACATTAAAAATATAAATAAAATAAACAAATACATAAAACCACCCACTTTTCAGAAGTTGTTCTATCAGCAGTAAACAACTACTTTTTTGTACTAAAACTACCACTTTCATGGGGCATCTGGGTGGCTCAGTGGGTTAAGCCTCTGCCTTCGGCTCCGGTCATGATCTCAGGGTCCTGGGATCGAGCCCCACATCGGGCTCTCTTCTCAGCGGGGAGCCTGCTTCCCCGCCCCCCCGCCTGCCTCTCTGCCTCCTTGTGATCTCTGTCAAATAAATAAATAAAATCTTAAAAAAAAATAAAATAAAACTACCACTTTCATACTAAACTGTACTACTGCCTAATCGATTTTGTTTTTTGGCTTTTTGCAAGACCAAATTTTATTTTATTTATTTTATTTTACTTTTTCGCATTACCAAATTTTAACTCCAGGTTTGCCACAACGAAATTTATGTAGAATCCCTCTTTGGCCTGTTTACAGGCCACAAAACCTCAAGTTATCTTTTAGAAAATCTCAAATAGATGAATGATTCCCCGATTCACTCAGTGAGAATTTATAAGGCGAGAGACAATAAATAAAGTGATTTTTCCATCAGGATCACTAGCAAGTAGCCCCTAAGTGACAGCAAAGACCTACGGGCTACAAATATGGGGAGGGAAGCACAAATGAAGAGATTATCAACTCTTTTCGTCTTATTTTTCGCATATACACCATCCTGGGATCAAACTCACAGAACGGCTCAGAAAACGGGGAACCCCAGTTGTGGGATCCTGACATAGGAGCTTCTCAAGAGTGGGAAAACATCACCCCGCTGGCGGCTGGTGGTGTGTGTAATAAGACATAATGCGATTTGTTTTCTACACACTATCAGTACGCTCTACAACAAGGTACAGAGACGTGAGAATCTCTGGGAAGGCTGACTATTACTTACCCTCAAATAGGAAGACAAGGTTATTTTAGACCCAAAACTAGAATGTGGGGCAAGGGAGGGAGGTGGGACTCACGCCACACTCCTCTTCCTCATTTTTACATACTTATAAGAAAAGAGGGTGGGGGATGGGCAGAACAGGTGACTGGGATGAAGGGGACACTTATCATGATGAGCCCCGAGTCACGCACAGAAATGCTGGGTCACCGTAGCGTCCACCTGAAACTAACAGAGCACTGGATGTTAACTGTCCTGGAAATAAAGTTTAAAACTTAAAAAGAAATAAAAATTAAAAAAAAAAAAAAAGAAGTATGGAAATACAGAGGAAGAAAAAAACAGATAACCAAATGTATTTTGTTCCCCAAACTCAGAGTAAAACCTATTAAAAGAATTCTCCCGCTCTGCAATGAAGCCATCTAGTAGACCCTCCATGAAAAAAACAAACAGCAAGACCCCACACAGCTGAAATCAATACTCTTCTTGAAGCTAATTTGGGATTTCCCATCGTCCACACTAAACCTGAATCTTGTAATAAGTCGCGTCGCTCCACTCTACCTCTGATCCATCTCCTTCTGAATTTCTTTATTTAATTCATCGACTTTCTGCTGCAGCTTCTTCCTTCTCTGCTCGGGCGGGAGGTTGCTGAAATCCTCAGGCGTGGCACCCTGCGGACACAAACAGGCATGAGCCCGCGCTCGTCCCTGAGGACAGACACTGCACGACGCCTGCACGATGCAGGCCCCAGACACCGGGGGTGCCGAGGTCCGCGTGTGTTTTCATGACCAAAAGGGAAGCTCTTTCCCAGGACACCCAGCTGAGATGTAAGATCGATGCATGCAAACTGCAGAGAAGTCCCATACACCGGCTCGGGGTCCAGGTCTGCCCGCCAAACCACCTCGGCCAAGGCAAGGAGCAAGGCTGCAGAAGGGGAGGGGGAGAAAAAAATTCCGGCCCCCACAAGATTCGGTGAAGACCACATTCTGAGGCAGATCCTTCCCTTGACCGTCAGTGTTGGCGGCAACACTGGAGTGTGAAGGATGTCTGAGGTGTCTGTTCCCTTCGTACCACACAGGGACAAGTGCCCCCATCAACGGTCTCATGTTGAACGCACCGCTTTACTCCCTACTCTGGGTCTTTCTTCCCACTTCTCCACACAGGCTGAGGCCCAAAGTTTCCATCCTCACCAAGTGACAGATGGGACGTCTGGTTCCTCAGAGAATGTGGGGGAAAAGGCCATTAAAACATCTATCCTCCCCCTCTCCCCCCCACCCCACCCCCTGCACTCTCCCCTCCACTGCCTCTAAAAGTCAGGTCACTCCTTTCTGACATCTGTAGGGTGACCTCAGAAAATCCACATAGAATGGGCCCCCAGACCTCCACACCAACTCCCCAGCATCCGAAAGCCATGCCAGCTGTTTCCAATCCAGCAGAAAGAGCCTATTTTGATATCTGGAACCCCTTTCAGAAACAATTAGGATCTTTCCTCGGTGCGTACGGTCTCAGTAGAAAACCCCAACAGCGAGCTTCCAGACTCTTCCAGACTCTTCCAGGTGCTTACGAGTCAGGAGCTTCGGCTAAAGCTGCTGGGGGATCAAGTGCCTTTGATTCCACGAAGTGATTTTCATAAACAAAGAGAAATGGATTCAATCGCCAGGGATAAGCCAAGGAATTTAAAAAGAGATTTTACTTTAGAGCCAATGAAACAGGCTGGCTGGGGCACGGGGGTGGAAAGGAGAGGACCTGGGGAAGGTAATTCCAAAATCGAGCTGAATTGGCCAAGCAGCTGACATGGTGCTGGTGACCCCGGCTCCCTGGCTGCTTGGGACCGAGCACCAGGGCTGCTGTGCCGGGAGGTGTGATGCAACCGCGCTTACCGCAAGGCCACGCACACACCTTCCAGCTGATGTTTAGACTCATGTGTGTGCGCGTGCCCGCGTGTGTTAGAGAGAGAGAGAGAGAGAGAGAGAGAGAGAGGAGTGAAACCAGAACACAAGTGGCTAGTCCGTCATGGCAAGCCAAGCAAGTTCAGTTGCCTAGAGCGAAAATGACCCAAACTCAATTTCAGCACAGAAATCAATCAGGCTGCTTGTTTCCGTCCCCGGGCGATTCTCGGGTTGGAACACGTGCAACCTGAATCGTGTGCTTTTCACTTTGCTCCGCTCCAGCACCGAGCCCGAAAGCACAACACCTTGTCTTCCTGCTGAGGTTACTTAGATCACATCAGCATGTTTTCTAAAATTGAGGTGATTGTTTTGTTTTGTTTCTTCGGGGCTGGAATGCCATAAAACGAAAGGCACGCTGCTTCGGAAGCCAGGAAAGGCAGGGAGGGCGCCAATGTTAATTCATTAATAGTTACGAAGCCGAACTGCAGGCTAAGAGTCCCAAAGAATTTTTCCTACAAAGAATGGAAAAGTTCTCATCTCTGCGCTCGTGAATACGGCGGCCACACACGGCTACTGAGCCTTTGAAATGCAGCCAGGGCGACCGTGGAACTGAATTCTACATTTTTATTGGATTTTAATTAACAAACATTTGAATAGGCTTGCGTGATGGATGGCCAGTGTATGGGATTCAGGGGTAGACTGTGAGCAGGTGAATTAACTTCAATTACTTATGAGAACTAAATAAATAAATAAAGGAACAAATTAGGTCCCTTTCGATAGGTACTCTATGTTTCTGTATTGTTATTTAGAAACTAATCTCATGAACCGTGCCTCAGACAAACTTTACATTGCCCTTGGAGGCTGAGCTCACGGCTTCTAGATCCGAAGGAGTGTTAGGTGTCTGGAAGTACCTTGAAAGGCCATTAAGACTTGGGTGACTTTAAGCAATACTCTGACCCAGGATTCGTTTTGCAACAAAGGAATTTTATTTCCAGCTTTGAGTCAGAGTAGACTTTCTGAAATCTTTGTTGTGGTCCAGTTTGGAAACAGACTGGCCCCACGGGTGGCACTGGTTTTGCAAGACGGGGTCAGTGTGTGTAGGGATATTTTAAGTGGCTGCGGCTCTGGGAGGCCCTTGTTTTACATACTTCTGGAATCAAAGACTTGCTCTGAGCCTCTCCCCGCAGGAGCACAAGCTACAAGCACAAGAAGCGTAAGCGGCTTCTTTGGAGTTCACACCTTTTCTACTCCAGGCATCTTTGGGCAACACTTCCCTTCTTTACTGGCTTCCAAGTAATGGTATAAAGCAACAGTTCCATACCAGCTTGGTCAAATGATTTCTATCTCAGGCAGAAAGACTGCCTAATTTTATTAATACTGTTATCTTTTGCTTCTAGTGCCTCAGCAAAAGAAGAAATACAGACAGGGCAAGGAAGAAACCCCAGTACCTGAGAGACTCCTACTTAATTGACCCAGTTCCTCCCAAATCCATGCTGTTGCCCAACTCAGTTCATTGAAACATTTAGAGTGTTTTCCTTCTCGTAGAAACCTTAATTAAGGACTCGTCTGGGGATTTTATTTCATAGTCTAAGAAATGTTCCATTTAATGAGATACTCGTTTTCTCTGGGGTTGGGTTAGTTGCCAAATACTGAGTCAGGCTGAAAAAATTCTGGAAATCCAAATGTATATGTATCCATGTACACACATACAAATGTGTAGATAAGGACCACCAGAAACTCTTATCCTGCATCATCAACAGCAATGCATAAAGTAGCTGACCTTATTCCTGGGTGAATTGTTACAGTGTATCATTGTCCATAATTTTAAGACATTTTCAGCTGTGGTGTTTAGAATACTATGTAACTTACAGATTTCTAAAGTATAGTTAGGAGTTACAGAGTTAAAAAGTTTCTTTTAATAAATTTAATGATTAGTCTGTTTACTAGGGCTATGCGATTAGGTAGGAACAACACAGGACACTAAGTAAATTATTTTAGAAAGGCTTAGGAGGCTCTTTTCACTGTCCATAAAGTCATCTTGTGATTTCTTAAATCGGCTATGCATAAGGCACCCACATATTTATGTAGCGACTTAAAGATCGCATGGGTTGCAATTCTCCCAGGCTGCCTTGGACCTGAGTTTGAGACTGGCACCATTCCTGCCCATCTCCTTCAGGCTCACTGCGTTTTTCACCTGCTTCTGTGGCTCCCAGGGAGAATATCTTTAGCTGTTAAATTTACTTTTACTCCAAATGATCCATAAATAAACTCCCCAATATCAAATATGTATATTTCTGATCACATTTAAATAAAGTTTATTAATATCTGCCATCCTCTTAAGGCCCCAGTAAGAAAGGAAACCAAATCATGAGTTAAGCGTTAATTTTCTTAGCAACTTGAAAAGATTAAGATCGCCCCTAGTGGATTTTGGACCTTTGGATTGCACAAGTCTAATGAAGAAACACCAACGAAAGCATACGCAAGGGAAACATACACCCAAAAAACCTGATTAGATTTGGGACATGCATAGAAGAATTGTGCTTACCAGCTTGAGAGAAAGCTTCATGTAAAAATTGAAGAGGTAACAGGGGAAAAAAAGAGAGAGAGAGAGACAACACATCAGAAGAAGAGGAATTCGGTCAGTTGCACCGTATTAACATAACACATAAATTCACCTGTCGCTTGTGAAAATGACTTGCAGTGGATCTGTGCAAACGTTCACAAGAGGGTCTGGCCCCTGCCAAAACCTTCCTTTCGCTGCCATGTTGCCAGAGCAAAAAAATAAAGAAAGAAAAGGAGAGTTTCTGTTCACAGTTCTGTGTGGGTCACATCGGCCTGGTTATAAGCTAAAATAAGTTTGCAGTTGGTGACACATGCTGATAATAAAAGACAAAAATAATCACATAGGCTTTTGTTCACCACATTTCACATGGGAAGTTTTACTCACAGGGGGGAGCTGAAGAGCAGTGACTTCCGCAACGTACAAGTAATGTATTTATTTATCTTAAGGAACTCTAATAAACGTGAAGACTGTCATTTCTCAAAGGCATGAAGGTAGACTCTTGAGTGGGTGAACGCATAACCGGGGGCTGGAAGTTGCTCTAGGAAACCATCTGCAGGATCCAGAAAGCCTCTCTGCACCAGGCCAGAGGCAGGACGATGCCCTTGCATCGCTCACCACCCCCCCCGCACCCGTGGAAGGTGTGTTCAGAGGCTCACATGCACTCTGAGTCCTACCCACGGGGGTTACAAAGCACCTGGAGCGCTAACTGGAGTAGCTGCCCTGAGAGTTACTGTTAGGAAATCGCCAGTTATCTCAACTACCGAGGGGCACTCCTTGCTCTGCATTTCTTGACCATTATCAGGAGGCAGCAGGTGCAATTTTGCTGGGCCTGGAGATTAGCAAAGGTAGAGTGACTACTGGACACAAAACAGATTAAAAGGCATCTCCAAATTATTAAAAAAAGAAAGAAAGAAAGAAAGAAAGAAAGAAAAACATTTGGCTCTTCGTTAACAGGTGAGACATACTCTATGGCCAGGAAGCAGTGTTTTGAGAGCATGGTGCGTTTTAACTTAGCTGTCGTCAATCCTAAAAGCTCAGGCAGCTGCGGTAGGATCAAAAATATGTTGGAGACCAAGGACCAAAGAACGAGCCCTTTGATTTTAAATTGGGAGTGCAGGGCGTTAAAAAATTCCTTAACCAGGTTTAAAAAATCTTATTAAGATGAACTAAAAATGGACACTTCTTTTCAAATAGGCATTAAGCTTTGAAAGAAATCGCCCCTATGGGGGAACAGACTTTAAGAGGCAGTGAGACAAAACTTGTGGGAGAACAAGGCAGCAGGTACAGGCACCCTCCTGACTCTCCCTGTGGCCCCTCCTGTGAGCTTTAGCACAGATCAGCTGATCACATCTTGAGTTCTTTACAGACAACACTCAGGGTGCACAGCGGAAAACTTGGCAAATATCTTCCCGGCAAAGCACGCTACCCCCTACAAATGTTTTCTCACACAGGATCGTCTAAATGTGGCAAATTCAAACACCTGATGTTTGAACTCTGTACACTACCTGTTCTCTCTTCGGCTACTTCCGTTACTTACACGAGCATATCAATTATATGTTCTTTCTTAAGCATTCCAAAAGAAGAATTCTAGCATCGAAACGAACAGCACAGGAATGATTACCACTTCATAATAAAAACGAGTCGTTAGGATCGAAAATAAATCTGAGTACCCATAGGAAATCCCGGATTTTCAAGACAAACGCAGTCTTCTGAAGTGGACAGTGATGGGCCCTCTACAAGAAGCACCATCACGGGGTGTGGTATCCTTGTAATACCGGTTTTCGGTCTTAAGCTGTAAGCCAGCCAGTTAGATCACTTAACATGGGAAACCAAAGCCTTTGAGAAAATACTTGTAAAGACTGCATTAGGTGCACCGCGAGACATCCGAGGAACTAGAAAGCGGTCAGTTTCAGGCAACAAGTATGAAGCCTTGGGAGCCACACATGTCAATAACACATGAGGGGACACAGAGCCAGCGGGTCCATGTGTTACTGCACGGCCACAGGTACAAACCTCAAGTACGAAGAAAGGGGACAGTGAAAATAAGTACAGAAGTAACGGTTGAATTATGGTCCGTGGAAAGTCACAGGACTACTCTGTGACCTCGCCCACGCCCCGATGATTGTTTTGGTTCCCCAAGCTTCATGGCATGACCCTCTTACGGATCCATCTCTTTCACACGGGGCTGGGGGGGGGGTCCTCGCACGATCTACACGACCGCCGTCTGTAAGAGTGTCCTCCTGGGACCACGCTCTGCGGCTGTGGTTATGGGTGAGATTCTGCCCTAGAATTGCACCCGTGGACATCTTCTCAGACGGCAGTCACGATCAGCGAGGAGCGGGCAGAGCCAAGCTCCATCCACTGCCGTTTTGGGGAAGCCTGGTTGTTCTTGGGAAGTTGGTTCCTTTTTCCCACCCGAGCTTTCCAGATGAAGTAACTTGGGGCTGACTTTATAGTAATAACTTGGCCCTTCCCGTGTCCAGGTCACCCAGGGGAGAATTTCGTTGCCGGGTCCCCAGTCTTGGTGCTGTCCGAGGGGTTAGTACCTGAGCCATGACTCAATGCCTGGCCGTCACAGGTCAACTTACAACATAGTCCCTAGCTTCAAAAGCATACGTGGGTTTCCCTATCGTCCTCTTCATGAGTTCTTTGTGAAAACAGAAAGACTGAGTCTGCCAATAATCAGCAAGAGAACAAGATAAAATGAATAAAATTAAAGTGACCATAAAATTGTAACATCTGACAAACAATCAGTAAGGATTTTCCAAACCTTTTGATCAACTGCGATGGGATTTTTTCCATGCCATGAACTCTAACACATGGGGGGAAATGGGCCCATATTTTAGATTTAGAAGGCCCTTGTCGAGACCAGAAAGAGAAATCTTAATTTAAGACAACAAAATTACATTTGTAAATTGCAAGCAGAGACCATCCTGTCTAGTTTCATTTTTCCTTGTCTTAGGTAAAGATGAAGAAATGGTTACGAAAGCTCGGTGGCATACTTTAGAAATGTTCAGTGAAACAAGATTTTCTTACAGATGCCAATGATTCACAACAACAACAAAAAAACATTTTATCCTCGTTCATTATTTAGACACAAAATCAGCTATGCTAAGAATCGTCTGCATAGGGGTCACACATTCGGATAATAGGAACAAAGGACTGAAATCTGGATCTGAAAGCTGCAAAACACAATAAATTAATAGATGTGTTAAAATCGCAGATCTGTTATTCTAGGACACTTTTCCTATCTTTGGCACAACAGTCTTAAAGTTCTAAATGAGGCATGAAGGAAACAGAAGGACAGTATCATTTTCATCACGGGCCCCATAATCCATGTACCTTCTGTGTTGAGATTGTTTTAAAATCAAATTTATTTCCCCAAACTTCAGATTTATTTTTCATTTTTGAACTTCCTAATTTTACTTCTGTGATGCATTTCCTTTTTTTTTTTTTCTTTTTTGTTCACTTCAACTTCCTGAAGGAAGGGACCTCCAACCTGACCCTCACTGAGAGCAGGCTGACCCAAAATGAAGGAAGCAGAAATATGTTTCTATTTATTCACTAATTCTTCTAGAATGTGTATGTGTGTTAACTCTCAGGAAAGCAAAGCATAGATTAAAAAAAATTTTTTTTAACCGAGGTTTTGCTGAGCACAGATTTAAAGAGTAAGCAATAAAATTCATTTTGCTCATTTATAAATTTTAAAAGAGGGATTTTCCTCTAAATCATCATAATAACTCATTTCTTATTCCCCCCCTTTTTTAAAGGGGTATATTTTTCCTAGCCATCTTTCCCATACACTTATTGATTACTGACATTCTTTGGTCTTTTCCCAAACATTTAGAGAACATCATGAAATACAGATTCGGAAAACCATTTGTAAACAGCAGACTGTGGTGGTGTTGAGGGAATGACACAGACACAGAAACAAACGGTGAACAGTCACAAATATTCCACATACTCCATCGTGAGATTCCAAAAGACCATGCAGAGGTACTTGTTAGAAACAGAATAAACGAGTGCTTTGGTCAAGGTCTTGCAAGTGGCCGAGAGATGGGTTAACTGACTTACAGTTAACATAAAACTTTATAGTGTTGCAAAAACACCCTGGCCAGATGCTGGAAATTCTTCCAGGAGTAAGTGGGATGGACGGGAGTTTTCAAAGCCAGCCTGATGGAGCCAGGAACTGGGATCTAATTATAGAGCTCAACGCGGTCCATCACCCACTTCCGAAGCTACGCTCTGCCTTCTAACAACGGCTCTCTTGAAATCTTGAGGAAATTACACCATTAATTCTTAACCTGATATGCTGGGGAACCTTAAGACAAGATAATTTCGCCGACTATCTGTATCCTTTACAGAAAATGTTGCGATCCCCTTATTAAAGGAACCCTGCATATACAGAATGGGGGGGTTGTCCCTCATTCTACTTATTTACTTATTTTTAAAATACGGGATGCTTCGAGAATTTGCGTGTCATCTGTGCTAATCTCCTCTGTATCATTCCAATTTTAGTATATGTACCACCCCTCGTTTTAGTCCCAGCTATTATACATTGACATTCTTTTTTACCCAAAGGAAGGGAAGAGTAAAAATTATGTTTCTACAGGAACACGTCCCACAGCCACTGCCTTGCAGTCCCCACAGATCGGGATAAAAGACCTTACTGGGCCCACGTGTCCGTTTACTCCTGACCGCCATGCCTCGATCTGGGGATGGCTTTGACTACACGGATCAGTTCGATTTATTTGGGAGGCTCCAAATGACTTTATTCCACTTTTGTCCTCGCAACCAAACGGGCAACTCCTTTGGGTCCCTGGATCAGCTGCACAAAATCCCATGCGTCTGGCACAGGTGTTCCTAACCGAAATGGCAAGCTGGAGTTGAGAGGACGTCCACTAACAAGTCAACCCTGTCCTAGCAGATGCTCCCCGAGTGTGGATGTCACAGAACCTCGGACGACGAGCAGGCTCTCTGACTTTACTTCTTCCTAACCTCATCTTTTGGGGCCCCAGTTTTCTTACCAGTAAAATAAGGATGTCATAGTGCCCAGGCTCACAGGGCAGTCGAAGACAACCACGGAAGAGAGTCTGGTCCCCCATCAGCGCTCAGTAAATGTTAGCTGCTTATTATCTCCACCTCTAACGATAAATCTGGCCGTAAGCCTCTTCCAGCCAACAGACATTTTCTCACCATCTTCTAAGTTCCCCAACACAGCTCAAGAAACCACCGTAACCTCGTGACATTTCCCCCTCGAACCTTGAGGCTTAGCTCAGACAGAAGCAGCTCTGTGACCCTCATGCTGTTCTCAGCAACCATCAAGCAAATGTTTTCTGCGTCTACAGTGACTTCCAATTCCTCATCTCGGATGTCGCTGGCTTTGGAAACCGAATCTAAGCTTCTTTTTTGGGTAAAATCAAGGTAGAACATTAATGACTTAGATGTTTTAAAAGGGAAGTGGAGAAAAGCCTTTCTGAAATGTGCTCGAGACCCAAAGGACTCTGGGCCGGCCGGCTCGCTTTCTCTTCTTCTTTCTATCCACTCTGCTTCCTTCTTTCTTCTCTCCTCCCCTGCTGGGGTTCTTCTTTCTAGCTACGGTGAAGCCCAGGTCCTTACTGTTCCGTGTTAAGGGAAAACACAATGGATTCATTCACAAACAAAGTAAGTCATGCAGAACGACACATGCGCCCAGAGCGCACAAGAGACAGGATTCCAGAGCAGAACTTACCCCACGCTTTAGGCTCCTGAAGCAGTGGATTTTGGGTTTGGAGGTCATGAACTCGTTGAAGCGATGGGAGAGGGGTTCCTTTTGCTGCTTGGGAGACTGGGGGCCGTTGGGAACAGCAGAGGGTGAGGCAGAGGCAGGGGGGGGAGGGGGAGGCTGATGGGGGGATGTTAAAAGGGACATAAGCTACATGTAAGATGGAGCAGTGACAGAGTAAAATCAGAAACAAGAAGATAAGACACAAAACAAAATAAGCATCAAATCATATTTGAAATCCAAAGCAAGTAAAACACAAACGATTACATATTTAGGCCATGGTCCAAAAGAAAACATGTAGAACATGACGAAAAGTGGAGGTTTTAGTCAGTAAAGCGACAGAAGAAGAGCAAGAAATCTGCGACCAGAAGCTCATGCAGACTCTCCATGCAAAACTACGTGAGTTACGCTAAACGTACGTTAGTTACGTTAGTTACGTTAGTTACACTAAACCAGTTAAGGCCAGAAAAGGGTCAAGATTTCTAAACCACCTAAAACCACCAGAGCTGGATGAGAGAGCATAAAGGACCTTAGATGCCAAGGTTGTCAAAACAGCAAGACAGTCTTTGGAAAATTAAATATGCAGTTATTCTCGGGAGAGCATAGTAATGGTGCCTGGACCACACGGGACGCCCAGGTCAGCGCTGTCACGCGCCTACGACCACGCTACCAAACGAAAACGCAAAATGTTCATGGAGGCACATGTTAACGTGAAGTCAAAACCCAAGCTATTAACCCATGGACACGATTTCGAATCAGAGCTGCTGATCAGCTGTTAGAGAAATCCTGCACAGCAACCCCTCTCCCAGCCGAGGGGACCAGGCGGCTAGTGGACTTAGCAGTGAAAGACATGATGGGAGATGGCCAAGAGGTCAGTAGAGGTCAGTGTTAGTGTGGATGGCACGAGTCAGGTGGCAATGCATCCGAAATAAGACAAATGGCCATGGCAAAGGGACCACCACCAAAGAGAAATCATGGTTTTTAAATAAAACAGCACACTAGCTCTTTTTTTGCATTCTGTGAACTACAAGCTTACGTACTTTAGTTTTGTTTGGTTTTGTTTTTTAAAGACTAACCGAGAAAGTCACAATCACCACACTTTATAAAATTCGTTTCACGCTGGGTCCAACCATCAGTACCTTATTTTTTTTGATGAAGGGCCATAGCTTTCCTTTGGATTTGCCACCAAACTTGAGCTCTGGTTTGCCTTCTCCTCGGGAATTTGAGAGGCTGTTATCCGACACAGTGCGTTTCATCGGCTGGGTGTAATCCTCAAATTCGATGTCCCCGGGAGGCTCAAACCCGGACTTATAAGCTTCTATTACCAGTTGGGAATCCTGAAATTATAGCCATCAAACACAAATGCGTTCAAACACGTGTGAATACTTTTTACACAACGAATTATGATGGCCCCATACAGAGGCTATCGTAAAGAACTTTATCTCTACAGTTATCTACAGAATTATATCTACATTGATTGGTAACAGAGTTTTTCTAATGATAGTTTTTTTAAGATTTTATTTATTTATTTGTCAGAGAGAGAGAGAGAGAGCACAAGCAGGCAGGGTGGCAGGCAGAGACAGAGAGAGAAGCAGGCTCCCCGCTGAGCAGAGAGCCGGATGCGAGACTCGATCCCAGGACCCTGGGATCATGACCAGAGCCAAAGGCAGATGCTTAACTGACTGAGCCACCCAGGCGTCCCAATAGTTTTATCATTAGAAAGAATAAGCACTATTTGTAAAGCTACAAGTCTAGCTGGATGGGAAGATACTCTCAACAGCCATTTTTCTGCAGCTGGAGAAACAAATATTAAGTAAGAAGGACTTTGCTAAAAGCAGAGAAAAAAGGGCCACTGTTAGGCACTTCCCTTGAAAAATACAGTTAATACAAAAGTATGGTTCTCACCAGGAGTTTTTAAGGTAGTTTAGCATACACAAAATCAAATCAAAGAGCAGATAATCTCTATCACTTCTTTGGTTCGTCGTGGTTCAGGGATATTAATTTTAATAAATATATATAATGATATAATATATAAAAATAAATATATATAATAATATAATATACTAAATTATATTTATTCTAGGATTTTTCCTTAGGGATGCATTTGTTCTTAGACCCTCCCCCATCCACATGCAAGCTCTCGTCTGTTTTTCCTCTAGACCGAGATGGTGCCGGCGAGAACCGTGTGCAATAAATGTTTGCTGAAAAAAATCAACGAACCGAATGCCTACTCCACAGCCCCTGAGTCCAAGCACTCTGCTAGGAACTTTGGGTGCTACACCTTCTCAGGGTGAGTCTGTGGTATAGATAAACATGTAAGGATATCATAACCAGAATGTCACAGACAGACAGGCAGATAGATACATACATAAAGCATTACAAAAGCACATGTGATTTGTAGTAACAACTGAAATCAATGATCATCTGACTTTAAAAAGAGGACACTACAGAAGACCATATGGAAAGATCTCAATTCTTCATATAAGCCCACAGTCGGTAGGGCATATAGATATTTTAGCTACCCCTTACTCTGGAGATGGGCCACAGACCGCCGACTGTCTTCCAATAGCCAACTGTCTTTCCTTCTCAGGAATAGGAACGCTGATTTTAAGTTGCGCACCCTGCCACCTACCTAAAGGCTTCATTCCCCAGCCTTCTGGGCAGCAGGAGGTGGCCTCCTAAGTTTTGACCTCTGAGATCTCGGAGATGCAGACAGGATGGTATGTAATTTTAGGAAGACTCTTTAAGGGGATAGCACGGGCCCTTCTCCATATTCTGCTTTCTGGAATTTGGATATGATAGTCGGAGCTCCAGAAGCCATGCAGAGTTTGAAGGTCACACCATCCAAAGCTGTGAACTAGGAGGAGCCTGAGTCCCGGAGAACTTACACAACAGCTGTCCATGCCGGGGCTGACCCCTCTGCCTGCAGACATCTTTTACGTGAGAGGAAAAACAAACTGCCCTGTGTAAGACACCACTGTTCCCGTTACGGTTAAACACATGCAAGCAGGTTCAGATCTACAAGCCCAGATGTGCCAGTGACTCACTGATGTGCTCTAATGAAAACATGGTCATTTGATATAAATGGAAATTAACCATACACAAAATAAACCAGTTTGAACTTTTAGTAACCACGTGATTCTGAGACTGTAAGAAGGGGCAGAGGGGACATCCAGTTTGTTGGAGAAGGGGCTGACAGAGCTGGGAGCTTTCTGTCCTCCTGTCCCACTCAAATAATTATTCAATCACCTCTTTCAACTCTTTGCTCAAATGAACTTCTTGGTGTAAGAGCCAGCCCCGTCCCCTCAGGCACTTTCTAACATTCTTTCCTACCTCACTTTCCCCCAAATGCTCATCCCATTTTCACACTCTAAAAAATAGGTTCTCATTTATTTTGCTATGGTCTGTCCCTGTCTTTAGAGCTGTGCCTGGCACTTGTGAGTGAGTGAAAGGATTCGAACATGTGCCAGAAACGGTACTTGTTTTAGAAATAAAAAGCACAAGGCGGTGGGGGGAGGGGCTTAAGGGAAAGAACATGGCTTTGGAACCAGATGGACACATTCACTATGTGGCCCTGGGCAAGACTGTAACCTCCCTGAGTTCAAGGTTCTCCTCGGTGGGTCGTGGTGAGCACACCATGCATGGAAGGAAGTAGGTGTTCAGTAAATGTTCAGGGAGCCATGTCATGAAATACCATCAACGTTCCTCAAGATGAAAATTTTGAAGGAGGACACGCCAGCAACTAAACATGAAGATGCAGAGATAACAAGTGTGTGATCAAAGAAAAACTAGACTAAAAGTAGCAAAGATCAAAAGTAGCACCACCACAGCTAACTTAGCTAGGAGCTGAACCTGCACAAGAAAATAAACTCGAGACGCTCCATGAGAACAGAGCAGGCTGTCTGGAAAGAGAAAGGGAACGTGCCAGGAAAGATGATCTGCATGGATTAAGAAATATCTGACCCTTGAATTCTCAAAAAAGAGCAAAATGAAACATTCATTCAAGGAAACACCTGAAGGAGGCCGAGGGAGTGAGCCATGCAGATGTCTGTGGGGAGGAATATTCCAGGCAGAGGGAACACAGTAGGAGCATACTTGGGAGTTTCTGAGGAACAGCAGGCTGCTGTGGCGACAGCACGGGAGAGAATACAGAAGAGGTGACATCAGACAGATAAATGGGGAGGGAGCGTGTTCCAGATCATTCAGGGCTTTGAGCCCACAGTGGTTCTGACTTTTCCTGTAAGCCCACGGAGGGCTCTGAGCAGAGGAGACACGTGATCTAACTTATTGTAAAGGAAGCCCTCTGGTCTCTGTGTTAAGAATGGGGTGGGCAAAGGTAGGGAGACATCAGACATCTCCTGCAGTAATCCAAGCTGCTCCCGCACAACCCAACTGGTGGAGATCTTGGATCAGGAGGGTAACAACAGAGGAGGTGAGCTCTGTGGGTTCTGAATGTATTTTGGAGGTAAAGCCAAGAGGATTGGCTGATAAATTAATGCAGGTGTCAGAAAAAGATCTTGACTCCACGATCCGTGCAACCAGAAGGATGGAAATGCCATGACGGAGACAGTGAAGACTATGGGAGGCGCAGGTCTGGCAAGACAGATCGGGAGCTCCCCCTTGGGCACGCGGAGCTTGAGGAACGAAGTAGAATCCAAGTGGAGAAGCCACCTGGCAGCTGAACGTATGAACCTGCCATGGAGGGACAGGTCCAGGCTGGGCATGTCACACGTGTGATTCAGAGTTGAGATGGGACTTCATGCTCTGAGAGTCTATGGGTCACTCCAAGGAGCAAATGCAGAGAGTACACAGGTCCAAGATCAATGCCCAGAGGTGCTCCCGAGTTAGATGTAAGAAGGAGGAGAAGAAGAACAAGCAAAGGAGACTGAGTCAGTGAGGGGAAGAGTCATCACAGTGTGGTTTCCTGGGACTCAAGTGAAGGAACAGCAGGTAGGAGAGTGGTCGAGTGGGGGCCGGTGCTGCTAACAGTTTAAGTTCTTGAATAAGAACTTGAACGAAGACCCTAGAAGAAGACCCTTGGATTTAGCACCATTAAGGTCATAGGTGAAAAAGAATGATCAGTGATAGAACAGGAAAACAAGTCTCCCATAATGGGAGAAATGTCCTATAAATCTAGGGAGCTCACAATTTCCCAGATAAAACTGATTAAGGGAAACCATCATTCAGACATGATCTTGTAAAATTATGAGGTTTCAAGGAAGAAGACATTTCTAAGCTTCTAATATAAGAAGTTAAAATCAGGGTGCCTGGGTGGCTCAGTGGTTAAGCCGCTGCCTTCAGCTCAGGTCATGATCTCAGGGTCCTGGGATCGAGTCCCACATCAGGCTCTCTGCTCAGCAGGGAGCCTGCTTCCCTCTCTCTCTCTCTCTGCCTGCCTCTCTGCCTACTTGTGATCTCTCTCTGTCAAATAAATAAATAAAATCTTAAAAAAAGAAAAAAGAAGTTAAAATCAGGCTTGTTTCAGATTTTCATCAATGCCAAAAGTCAACGAGGTTAAGGAAAAAAGTCAAGATTCAGTAGAGGTGAAGGCTGACCTTGTACATCTCACTGTTATTATTTCCCTTTAAAAGACCCCTTCCCACACTCATTGGTGACTGCTGACATTTTAAATAGGGCTATGAGAGAAAGCCTCACCAAGACTATTTCTTGATCTCACTCCATGAGCCAGGCATTTAGGAGCCACTGAAAGACTGTCCGAGGGGCTGTCTGGGGGGTCAATGAAGCATCTGCCTTCAGCTCAGGTCATGATCCCACCATCCAGAACAGAGCCCCAAGTTGGGTTCCCTGCTCAGAAGGGAGCCTACCTCTCCCTCTACCCCTCCCCCTGCTCATACTTTTTCTCTCTCGAATAAATAAATAAAAATCTTTAGAAAAAAGAAAAAAATGACTTTGTCTGAAACTGATGATGCAGAGATGTCCAAAATCGATGAAGTAACAGTGGCAAGAAAATGAAAAACTGGACTGCCTCGGGGCATGACCAGTCACATGTGTCTCAACCAAGACATGTGTTCAGCATAAGGAAAGGATGGTTTGATCACCTGCAACTCCTTCTTAGCATAATGTAGTTTTGTGGGGGAAACACCATTAATTAATAAGCACTAGAAATTTTCCCCAAAAAAGTTAGCTGAAATCACCAAAGAAGGAGGCTCCAGGTGAACAGATGTTAAGAAAATAGAGATCAAGGAATCCTAAAATTTAAAAAAAAATAATAATAATACCTGCTACTAGAACCATTCCTCCTACAAACACTTATTAGTTAATATGTTTGGAAATGTTTCTGCACATTGGGTCGATAGTTATTTTTTTACACAGATGGCCTTAAATATGGTAATACACCTAAACATCCTTAGAGGAATGAAGAATCTATATGCTAAGGTATGTTCACACAGGAAAGATGGCTTTGATCCCTTGCCTAGACTCATTTTAAGACGCTCTTACGACAAAGAATACTTACGACATTGCTTTTTCTTAGATATTTGGTTTTGCAAATTAATAAATGTTTTGTAAAAGCCTATGCTGGTGTCCTAGCTGATATTTTTGTTGAGGGAAATAGGTTTCTAGGAAAGTAATCCAAATGAATGACACTGGCCCTGAGTTGTGTTTTCAGATGGAGACGACAGTGCCCCGAAGGGGACATATGGTAACATCCAGAGACACTTCTGACCATTACAACCAGGGAAGGGTGCTAACGACATCTGGTCAGTAGAGGACACGGATATTACTAACCACCCTGTAGCACTCAGGACAGGCCCCTACAGTAGAGAATTATCCAGCCAGCAAAATGTCAACAGTGCCCTACAGAACCAGATCCCGGCATGGGGGTAACTCAGCCAACTGAACATTCTGCAATGGCTCAGACTTAACTGTGTTTTCTGGAAAAGAAATTCGGGAGCTACATCCAGAACCCTGAGGGCACAAAAGAACACTCGAAAGTGCTGTTACTACTGCTGCAAAGTAGTCGCGAACCCTGGAAGGAACCACCCATCTTGAGACGATTCGCTGTGGACAGCAGTGAAGAAACAATGGAACCAGAAACCCTTCATTGTGAATCACATCCAAACTGTAATACTTACGTTCTTCTGATCGATGGACTCTGCTGCCTTCACGATTTCATCCAAGCACTTCCCAATGATTGGGATCACCTGCCGATCGACCTCCGCGTACGTCTTCATCGACTCCCCAATCCTTACTATCCTCCTCTCCTCCATCTCCTGTATTTTCTGCAACATTAGATTTTGCACGAAATTAGTCTGGTCCACTGTGACTCATGGGAATTGTTTGCAGCAGTACTGTCACCTCGAGCAAATCATCTGGGATGGAAATAGGCCAGTCGGTAGGGTTGGAGTTGATGACTGGCTCCCTCTTCACTGGCTGCCCACATATGTTAGAGCGGTCAGACTGTCCAAATGTGTACCTTCCAGGGTTCCTCTCCAATTTCAGTGAGAACCCCAAGCTCAAGTGCTTTTATCACTGATGCCACTTGGGGACACATCAAACATCTCCCCACCTTTGATCGGGGTAATTAGTTTACCAAAAGCCTGGTGTTGGTTAATGGTCTCAACCCAACACAGGCTGAGAGATAACTAGTGTATCTTCCGTCTACGAGCTGGAGGCTCTTGTTTGCAGTGGGTGTAGACACTAAGAAGCAAATACTAGTTACTTTTTCCACAACCGGACACAAGTCGTCAAAGATTCCCAAAGTAGGAGAACACGTATCCAACTCTACTCATGCCATTTCTGACAACCTAGAGTAGCCCAAAAGAGAAACAATCCAAAGACAAGGGCTGTATTTGTTCAAATCCTGTAACTGTATGAAATCTACTAGGACTCCTAAAATTAAGTTGGCATTTTGTAACCCGAATGCTCCTTTTAGCAAAGAGGGCGCTAATCTCAGAATTGCACTTCTAAGACTGGCAAAGAAAGGCTACAGGTGTGAACGGAGGTCAACTGCAAAGGTCACTGACTGACCTTGAGATTAATATTATATATTATAATATAAATTATAATATATATTTCATCTGATTGCCAGTCAATGCTATATATATATATATATATATATATATATATATATATACACACACACACACACACACATATATATATATATATATATTTTTTTTTTTAAGGAGGCTCCATGTCCAGAGCAGACCCCAACACAGAGCCTGAACTCATGACTCATGAGATCAAGACTTGAGATCAAGAGTCAAATGTTTAACCAACAGAGCCACCCAGGTACTCCCTGGATGATTCAAAAGTGGCTTCATTTGGAGGAAATTTAGAATTCTGTAAATTCTCAGAAGGTAAGCCCAGCCATCAGGATTCCAAAGCTACGTGTCTCTAAAGGCAAAGCTGATCTGAGAGGCCTGAATGACTTACCTGAAAGATGTTGGGGATGTGAGTATGGTAATACTCGTGCTGCTCGTGGTTGAACTTCTGGAGGATGGATGAGTAATCAGCTTTGCTGTCCTCCGCCATCTGGTGACGTACTTGAGCTTGCTGTCGCGCCTTGGGGCAAAAAATGAGAATACCCCCATGTTTACATAGGATAAGAGCCTAGAATTGCAAACCAGAGGGGTCTGCAGTCCACTTTACCTCAAATGTGTTCTACCGGGCAGGTGTTATTTTCTAGAAATTGCTTGGAATTTGAATTTAGTTTAGGTAAGGATGTGCACCCTAGTTTTTCACAAACCCTGCCGTTGTCTGTCATCTTCACTTGGCATCATTTTCCAGTCTGACCAAGTGTCTCTCTTCTTTATTGTCTGCACTTGGCCCAATTCACATATTTATCTTACCTAGGTGGGCCTTGTGGGAACCTATGCTCATATATATTTTTATGCTATGTACATATACTTTATATTATATATATATGTGTGTGTGTGTATATATATATATATATATATATATATATATATATATATATATATAT